CCCAGAGCTGGACCCAGCCCTGCAGGGGGGTCTCCCAGAGCGGAGCAGAGGGGGAGAATCCCCCCCTGGCCCTGTGCCCCCCCTGCTCTGGGTGCAGCCCAGCACACGGGGCCTTTCTGGGCTGCCAGCCCACATTGTGGCTCATAGTTTTCCATCCACTAACACCCCCAAGTCCTTCTCCTGGGGGCTGCTCTCCATCCCCTCCTCGCCCAGCCTGGATTTGTGCTGGGCATCGCCCCGACCCACGGGCAGGACCTTGCCCTTGGCCTTGTTGAACTCCAGGAGGTTTGCCCGTCCCCCCTCTCCAGCCTGTCCATGTCCCTCGGGATGGATCCTTCCCTCAGTGTGTCACCGCCCCGCACAGCTCGGTGTCGGCGGGAACTTGCTGAGGGGGCCTCGATCCCACTGCCCACGGCCCCAACAAAGACGTTCAACAGCGCCGGGCCCAACCCCGACCCCTGAGGACCCCACTTGTCACCACTCTCTGCTAGGACATCGACCCATTGACCACAACTCTTGGAGTGCAACCGTCCAGCCAATTCCTTATCCCCTGAGGGGTCCATCCATCAAATCCACGTCTCTCCACTCTAGAGACAAGGATGGCGCGTGGGGCGGTGTCAGAAGCTTTGCCCAAGTCCAGGTAGGTGATGTCAGTTTGTAAATTAGACCCACAAAACCGTAGGAAACAGCCTCTCGGGGTGCTCGAACTCAGTGGCCGGCTCCAGCAGCCCACACCCGCTGCGCTTTGGGGGCAGCTCCCTCACACGTCTCTCACGCTGGTTAGATGAGTATCAGCCTTCCTTTTTTTTTTTTTTTTTCTTTTCCTCCTTTTTTTCTTTCTTCCCTGGCTATTTGTGCCAGCACACGGTTCAGATTGAAATGCTACTGTAACCCACGGGAGCGGGAAATTTATGACACAGAAAACAGCGCCGTTTCCATAACCATTCCATTTTTTTTTTCCCCTCATTTCACATCACAGCGCTAATATGACTGATTAATTTATTTATTTACACGAACCTACTCTATATATATTCTCCTGGTCTCAACAGTACTGCAGAGCAACAATTTTTTTTCCTCCTCTGAAGTGTTAAGATAAAAATATGACCCGACCAAAAACGTCGCGTTTAGTTCACTTCAGCTGCGAAGATTCAGAAAACGCAAAGGGGATAAATTTATATTATGGTAGGATTAACAGCTAATTCATTAGATCAATTACAGAGTTTGCTGTTTATCTGGGAATAGTCTTCTACTCAGTAAAAACCTCCACAATTTCATATCCATGATGATGATTCTGATTTGTGCATAAGAGATGGATTGAGTAGCAGCTTTGTTGTCCCTCTTATTTTTGTTTATCTGTCTCGCTAGGCTTAATCTGCATACCTTAAATAGAATAATATTAATATTCCTGGATATCTCTCCCTGCATCTTCATGATCTTCAAGATACACCTTCTATTTTGTCCTTTGTACTTACAGAGCTGGGGGGGTTGAATGTCTCATTAACATAACAATGTTGAAAAATATTTTTGTGTTAGAAACACCTAAGTGATTATCTTTGTGGGTTGCCCCTCAAACGTTTCCTAAACTCAATTTTCAACACTTTTTTTTTAATGCAAATAGGTTGAATTGGGCGAGTCTTTGAAGAAACCGGCCTGCTAGACATGTACCTCTATTCTTTTCTAATCACAGATGTTGGAAAAGACCCTGAAGATTGTAGAGTCCAACCATTAACCCAAGGCTGCCCAAGTCCAGCACTAAAGCACGTCCCTAAGCTCCATGTCCACACATCAAGAGATGATGCTCCCCCCCACCCCACCAGCCCCCCGGTCCCTGGTCCCCACAACCAGGAGGCAGCGGCGACGTTTGACATTTTTTCTTTCCTTCCAGATCAACTTTCCACTTCAAAGCGCGTCGGGCGCGCCGTCGGTCTCCTGCTCTCTGCATTGTTCTGTCTTTCCAAATCACCGTCAGGTTAGTTTGTTTTGCATATCATTACCCGGCTTGGAGATCCCAAGACATCCTCCTAGGTAATGGATGCAGTCCAAAAAGCCTGACTGCCACCGGGATCAGGGAACGGCTGCCACGTTGAGCTCAGAGATTATCCAGCCATCAGACATTATAATTGGTAATATTCAGATGCTGTATGCCTTTTTTTTTTTTTGATGACATTTGGAAAAAAAATTAAAAAATAAAGACAGCTCTGAGTCCAGATGGCTCGAAACCTACAACAAGGATGAAAAAAAAAAAAAAAAAAAATGACAGATCTGTGGGGAAAGAAAGGAAGGAAAGGATGAAAGTGAAAAAATAAAAAAACAAAAAAACAACATAGACCGGGCTGGGTAGGTAGAGCACAGAGAGAAGGAAGCCTGTTGTATTTAGCAAGCTATAAACCCAAGAACACCCTCTTAAAGCACGCACATTTACACCCATATTTGTAAGCTGATGAGAGAAGCAGCAAAAATACTAATTTCATGGTGTGATCATAGCCTCCGATCACTAAAACAAGCCAACTGGTATCCTCGTCGCTATTGTGAGTACAAGATTGCGTTAGAGGGAAACACAAACCACTGAAATGTCAAGAGCAATTAACTGCTGCATTTTTCATGCAACACAAAATGGGAGAATTTTATAGGGCTCCTATAATTAAAGTTAATAAAAATGAATATACAATTCCCTGAAGGACCGTAGGGGATACAAGTTGCTCTAGCCTCAACGTAGCCGTGCCCTCCCCGGGTACTCAGCGCTCCATTAAAACACTGGAAAAATGTTCCTTTTGCCTCATTTCTTACAGTTCTGGAGCTGAGTTTCTGAGCCACCCCGAAAACTCTCAGTAGATTTCTCTTTGTGAAATCCACTTTCAAGCAGCTTGTTCCTTAGCACCGGGCGGCCCTTTATTAACTCGGCAATTGTGGCAGCAAGCTGAGCAGGCAGAGGAGTGACACGGAGAGGGGATGGATGAAACCCCAAGAGGTGTGATAAGGTGCAAGACGAGGTTTTGGTCCGGGTTCCAGGGGACAGGCTGTTTGAAGGCAAACGATGCTTTGTCACCGAGGACTGACAGGAGCCCTCCGCTCCTGCCTGACCCCAGGCAGCTCATGTATTACTGCATCCTTCGATTTAATGACTTTACAACGCCCATAGAAAGCTAAAGAAGAGGGAATGTTGGCAAGTAGTGTCAGTGTGGGCAGTCGGGAAACAATTTGTGTTTCGTATTGCATTTGAAAGAGAAAATGCAAAGAAAGAATGAAAGAAAGTGAAAAGAAAGAAGGTGCTGTCAAGGCTTTGTGGTCCCAAAACAGTGCTGGATTCCTTCCTCTGCCTATGGGATCACAAGCCCTCCTCTCCCTCCTCAGGGAAATGTCACACAGAATCCCAGAACCCTTCAGGTTGGAAAAGCCCCTCGGGATCAGCGAGTCCAACCCTCAGCCCGACTCGACAAAGTTCTCCCCTACCCCACATCCCCCACAGCTCATCCCAACGGCCCTGAAACCCCCCCAGGGATGGGGACTCCCCCCTCCCTGGGCAGCCTCTTCCACTCTCGGACCACTCTTGCTGGGAAACATTTTCTCCTCCTGCCCAGCCTGACCCTCCCCTGGGGCAGTTTCCAGCCGTTCCCTCTTGTCCTGTCCCTGATCCCCTGGGAGCAGAGCCCAGCCCCAGCCTCTCTGCAATGTCCTGTCAGGAGCTGCAGAGAGGGATGAGGGCTCCCCTCAGCCTCCTCCTCCTCACACTCAACACTCCCAGCTCCTTCCCTGCCCCCTCACAGGATTTGTTCCAGCATCACTTTTAGCCTCTGAGATACTTTGAGTGCAGCTGCCAGTGATCCTAAGCCCAGGATTCTAACTTCCCACCACACAGGTAAGTAGAAGGACAGGGAGTTACCCCCCTTTTCTAAATACTCAAACAACTGGAAGTGAAAAAGTTCTGTGGGAAGAGCCATGAAGGCCCATCCACTCCCAGAGGATTTGGGGTGCTTCCAGATAGGGTGGGGGACCAGCCTCATGCCTTCGGTGTGTCCCACCACCACGCAGCCCCCGGCGCAGACTGTCAGACAAAAAAAAAAAAAAAAAATCTCT